GAGAGAGAGAGAGAGAGAGACAGAGAGGGAGAGAGGGAGAGAGAGAGAGAGAGAGAGAGATAGGCAGATATTATAGCCATGCACACATGATTAGGATATCCTGTGCGTGCGGCGTCAAAACGGCCAATGACAAAACGGCCCCGTCAAAACGACCCCGTCAAATCGGCCCCGTCAAAAGGGCCAGCGACATATGGACCCCGTCATATAGGCTCCCGACAAATAGGCTCCCGTCATTTAGGCTACCGACAAATAGGCTCCCGTTATATAGGCTCCCGACAAAAGGGCTCCAGTCAATAAGACTCCTTACAAATAGGCTCCCGTCATTTTGGCTCCCGACATATAGTCTCCCGTCATTTAGTTTTTTCCACAAAACGGCCCCCGTCATTACGACTCCCGACAAATAGGCTAGCGTCATTTTGGCTCACGACAAAAAGGCTCCTGTCAATTCGGCTCCAGACAAAAGGACCACTGACACAGTGGCGTAGCTACCGTAAAGCTAGCGTAAGCAAGGCATAGGGGACCAAGGCACATAGGGGCCCTTTTCCCTCATAAAAAATTAAAACTTTTACAATGGAATTTTAATATTTGTTACATATAAATAATTTTAAAAAAGAAAAAAGGTTAAAAGTTCCAAACCCCCCCCCCCCCCCCACCACCGTTTCGGCAGTGGGATTCAGTGTGTGTGTGGGGGTCAAACAGAGCCCAATCGTTATAATAACACTACAGGCGATATCACTTTGTCGTGCAAGACATTGAGAGAATCAGCCTATAAATAAACTTTTTAGCAGTAGTAGGCAAACATAATAATATAGTATAAATACACAATCAGGACATATAAAATACAAAATGTTGCCTTCAGAATATTTATATATTAAAAAATATCCATCGTAAGTAGAAGTTGATCTCTTCGTTTAACTCCTCTGTAGCCTAACGCAGAGGCGTAGCGAAGGCGGGGCGGGGGGTGCGGACCGCAACGGGTGACACCATTTAGTGGGGTGACACCAAATTGCAAAATTTATAGAATGAAATGCCATTTTTCCAGATCCATTAGTTAAAGTTAAATAGTCTTCTAAATACAAATCGAAAATTATATCAAGAGGGGGGAGGGGTGATACCACGACGTAAACGTAAACTATAAAGAAAACAATGCTACATTCAACTGTATTATAAACAGACTGCAGATAACCATCGTAACTATTAAGTCTGCAGTGATTAAAGCTTATGCGCGTACGTATACCAGTATGTGGCATATATATATATAAATTTTAGGCCTATGTAGGCCGACACACACACACACACACACACATATATATATATATATATATATATATATATATATATATATATTTATTTATTTATTTATTTATTTATTTATTTATTTATTTATTTATTTATTTATTTATTTATATGCTTTGTTTCCTGGGAGGGGGTGACAATACGAAGTGCCGCACCGGATGACACCCGACCTAGGGACGCCACTGGCCTAACGGCTGACGAAGGGGCCCACTGATAATTTTTGCATAGGGGCCCAAAAATCCTAGCTACGCCACTGCACTGACAATACCGTTTCTGTAGAGACTAAGTCTCACGGCAAAGCGGTCTCATTGAATATGACACCTACCAGTGGGACCCCTTCATCAATATTCTTTAGAGTTAGCTTATCCAACACTCTTATGTAATACAACGTATGCATCTCTTGTTCGGCAGGCCTTATTTTTATATTAGTTTATCTATTATAAAATATAGTATGTTTTAATTTAAGGGTCATCTATCTATGACATCCATAATTGAGTCGGTTATAGGCTGTTCCAACTCAGTGTGTGGGGAGAAGGGTCCACGCTGTACCTTCCTAACTGCAGTATGCTTGTAGGTTATCAAAACAAAATGCTGTTATCATGTTAACATCATGTATATCATACATTTACACTTCTGTGCTCGCTTTTAAGCAACAGATCTTTTCCGTTGTAAATTAAACATTATCAAAACTTTAGAATTGGTGGAATTTAGCTGTTAAGGGCTCGATTTGTTTGTGAATTAATGTTGGTTCATGAAAAATAATTTCATTCGGGCATTAAAAAGAGGTTATAGTGGTATTGGAGGTAGGACACAATGGTTACTTTTATGCCAATAGTGGTCATATCATTCATTTTTCTGGAGCCAATATGTCGGAAGTCATTTTGTCAAAAGCCAATATGTCGGGAGCCCAATTACCGGGAGCTAATATGTCGGGAGCCCATTTGTTGGTAGCCAATATGTCGTGAGCCCATTTGCCGGGAGCCCATTTGTCTTGAGCCCATATGTCGGGATCCAATATGTCGGGAGCCGCTTTGTCGGGAGCCAATATGTCCTGAGCCTATTTGTCAGGGGCTAATATGTCGGGAGTCCATTTGTCGGGAGCCTAAATATCGGGAGCCCATTTGTCGGGAGCCTATATGTGGCAAGTCAATATGACGGGAGCCCATCTGACGGGAGCCAATAAGTCGGGGCCCTTTTGACGGGGCTATTTTGACTGGGTCGTTTTGTCGGGGGTCGATTTGACGGGGTCAAATTAACGGGGCCGTTTTGACGGGGTCGATTTGTCCCGGGCCGTTTTGACAGGGCACCCCTGGAGTGATAATTTCAAGAGTGGGAACTTGGATTGAACTGGCATACAGCTGTATATCAACCACGTGAGTTAGTTGACCAATCATCGTCACGGCACTAAGTCATCTGGAAACCAAGAAGGTAAACGAGGGAAAAAAGGAAGAAAATAATAAAGATCAAGGCGAAAAGGAAGATGATTGTGAACATGGTCTTTATTAAATTTAGTTCCGCATAAATTTATTACGGTCCATATGATAATATATAATATGAATATATGTGTCAATTAGGCATATGAAAGTGGCAAGTACACATTATAAGAATTCACTTTAAAATTCTCTCTAAAATTGTAGGACTTCTAATTTATTTTATGAACGTATTACAACCAGTGTTGTGAAAGTTTCAAGATTATTATTTCGATATTTTTTATATAAAATTTCATCATAATAACTTTGCAAGCGCTTATAACCTTCAGTGAAAATGTCTTACATTTTAGTGGATATGTCCTTACCTTAAAAATATATGTCATCACCTTCAATGAATATGTCCTCCATTAAGAATGGATTCTATATGAAAACAGCTAGCCTTCAACAATAATTCAACGCAAGTAATTTCCACATTTCAATAACGAGATACAATGGTATTTAAACAGAACATTAAGTATAGCTACAAGTGAGGCTTTCGTTATTTAAAACGTAGCCTTGGCGTGTTGATAGTTATTTTAAATTGTGTAACAATAGAAGTTCAATTTTAGTTTTAGTTCCGCAACTACACGGAATTCCTTCTTATTTAAAAAGACAAAGCAAAATTATAGCGGTTTAAAACATTTTAAAATTGTTTCGAAAAATGTTTTTAATTAACAAGTGTAATCTTCTATTTATAGATATGTTTAAATTGGCCCCTCCATGAAATATTAAACAAAGCCCTGTTTAACTAACCATTTAACACAATTGAAATGAAACCGGAGTATTTCAATGACCCAAGTTCTTCTTATAAAATGGATTCCGCGCAGTTTAAACTAAAAATAGCTCAGCATACTTGATAGGGACAATTGAAATGCCCAAAATATCTGGAGAAAGAAACATTGATGTAATTATCTGATGCTGTTTGGTGCTGGTTGATTAAGTTCCTGTGTACAGGTGCGGCAAGTTGACACAGCCAGGAATGGAAGCGAAAACTATTTGTGTTAAACAAAACATTACCAAACTGGAGGCACTTGAAAAAACGGGGTGTTTTTTCTTCAGTGAGACGAAATTAGCGAAACAAATATGTGTGGTACACTTTGTTCCATTCCTATTCTGCTTCTAAGTTTATTTTTAAATTTTAAGAAAGGCCAGAGAACCAAAATAAATCAAAACAATATTTGGAGGTCAGTAAAGAAAAAAAAGGGGTTTTTTTTTTGTCAATTAAAAAAAAAATCTCAATTAGTCCGCAGTCTAACAGTTTATTTTCATTTATATTTTTAAAATTCATTAGAATATTGTGTTTATTTTTATATTTTCAAGTCTCCTTATTGTCTAGTAGTTGTTTTTTTTTTATTGTTGTTGTTTTGTTTTTGTTTTTATTTACTTAAGTTTTTTTTTTTTTTTTTTTTCAAAGCATCTTTTTCATTTGTACAAAATTTCACACTCTAATAAGTAAAACAAAACAAAAATGGTGGCCTACAGTGAATAATGTAGAGAGTTGTAAGTCTTAGTCAAAACAAAATAAATTTCGAATCCCATGAAGCAAATGACTTTGTCTAGCTATCAGACATACACATCTATATTGATATATACGGGAACAAACTCAAACCAAGCTTTACAATTTTAGAAAAAAAAGACACATTATTATAATTTTATGCAACAATTAATTTTTATGACAAAAAGTTAAAGTCTAATGTAAAAAGGCTTAATGTCTGATTATAATAACCAAAATACGGTTAACAAAAATAGAACAGTTTACAAAGATCTGACAAGCATTGCCATCCATTGTCTGCAACTTGTTGTGTCTACTTACAGATTTTAAAAGAAATGAAAATATTCTCTCCCTTGAATACCTGCATCATGTTTTGTTGTTTATTCCCACAAATACAACCACTGCTTCTATTTTTAGACACCATCCCGTCCATGTTTCTATTTACCCCTTATTCAAAAACATTTTAATGAATGCGATGATTTTTTTTTGTGTTAAAGTTTCGATTGCAATTCTTGTGTGTGCCGTACAAACCTCGTTCTAAATCCAGCATCTCGGTACACACTACAGGTCTCGATCAGTGCGTTCTATTGTTATGTTGGTTGTTCTCGTCTTGAACCCCCCCTCCCCCTCCGTTATTCCTGCAAAGTGTGGACACACAGAAAAAAACACCTCCTCCCACGGGACGGTATAAAAGCCGCCGGCGTGGAGCGAGAGGGTCAGTATGTTGGAAGCTGCAGCAGTAATCAGCCAGTAAGATCCAGACCAGCAACACGAAGTCCATTCAGTCCTGTGAGCCTCAGCACTCGATTTCCCCTCCTCGGTGTGACGTCACAGTTGGTAGACCCAGTGTTTCGCTATCTGAGTGTAAGCTTTGGATTTGATTGGTCGAATCAAGCCAAAGGTCACTCCTGGACAATATATATTTATATTGAAAGACATACATACAGCACCGCTATAGACTTGGATATTTCTGAGAGAGATATTTCGAGGCCAAAAGGAGATATAATCCTTCAAGGCTTGTATTTTTCTGGAGATCTTGTTGAATTTTTTACCAGTGGATAAAAAAAACATTTTAATTATTTCAACCAGTTTTGTTTCGTGAAGTTCGAGGTTATTTCGAGATTTCTATTTGTGATTGCTTGTTTTACGAATCTCTGAAGAAACTTCTCGATTTAATTGAGAAAGGTAAGTTTGTAAATATTAAATAGATTAAAACTTATTTAGTAATTTAACACGATTAGCATCGTTGGTCAAGTAAAATCAATCTGAATAATAATTGACATATCATTTCTGACCAACGTGTTATGTAGCATATGAATTAGAATAGATAGACCCTAAGTTCCAGGTTCTATTCCAACTCTCATTGACTCATGTCAAAGTGGTGCGACATTTGACTTTTGAGTGTCGTGTAGATTAGCCATCACACCCTCAATGTCCCACAATGTACCAGATCGATTAGACAAAGTTCAAGTTCCTCTTTAGACCTAGCGATCCATTGTGCAGATGAAGTAAAATTCATGTTTTTTTGCCTAAGCATGTGGAGGGATAGGGTGGAAAACACTATTCTCAGCCTCCTTTTACTTTCCCTAACGTAAGTCAGGCACCCATCAAAACTAAGTGAATTCAGAGACGTCTTACAGTCTTTGAGTTAGCACCAAATCGCTCTAACATCCGACCACTCCGCCCCATTTAAAAAGCGCCATCGAATTAGCGTTTATATTAGAGAAGTTAGTTTTCAATGTATTTTTTGCATGACGAAAAATAAAAAAAAACATACAGAAAGAGAAAGTCTAAATAATTTTCTGAACTAAAACGCTGGTTTCACTCTATTTAATTCATAAAATTGCTTACAATTTGTGGTGAAGTTACTTTTAAACAATAGTTAGGGCCATATTGTAACCTAGCGAAGATATCTACAATTTGGTTGGGTTTTTTGGATGCCAGTTTAATCAGTTTGGGTGAAGACGTAGCTAAAAGATGAAGGTACGGGGTTGGAGATTCAGTTTTTTACTGCTGGGTGTCACATTCTAAAAGTGTTTCAAAGCACTCGTAAATGTTCTGATAAACTTTACTTTTCCTTCTCTACACATGCAACTGATTTCATTTCTTTCTTGTAGAAATGTAGTCCTAGCTATATTGAACTAACATTGTCTTAAACTTAAAAATAAAACCACAATTGTTTTTTACATCGAAACATCTAGAACAAATCGTTCTATTGTCTAACAACAGTGTGGCACATCTCAAACGTGGACAATTTAATTAAAGAGCCTGAACATTTGACAGACTTATTAATTAGTTCGCTTCAAACTAATCCAAAAAAAATGTATTAACTTTAGTCTTACACATTGATGTACAAAGTATTATAGAATATGGGAAGGGGTGGTTCAGTGTTAGGGCATACGATTGCTAACCCGAAAGTCTCGAGTTCGAATCCGGGTTAGGTCTTTAGAAAGTCCCTGGTCCTCACATCTCTGACGCACGTTAGTGTTAGGTAAAAGTAAAGGTGACTGGGTATATTGCTGACCACACTATCCCTACATACGCCTACGTCACAGAAACGTGTGATCTATTCTAGAATACATTGAGTCTAAGACGTCAATCTATGTCTTTGCTCAAAAGTTCTGCAAGCGTTTTGCAGTATGTCTAAAAATTTAAAACAAAATTCGTCAGACAAATGAGAAGTAACCAGTTGTATTCATTCAAACGTTATTTCTTTGGCCTTCTATGTATTTTACTTTTAAATAATCGATGTCAGTAATTTCGCACTCCTATAATAAGAGCATGTAAAAATTCACAATAACTGTGTACGCCTACAGTACATCAACACATTAAGCATAATAATCTTTATAACAGCAATTTTCAAATTGCCATCTATATATGATAAATATATTGTAGTTTTTGCTATTTTTGCAATGTCTTTAAAACAATTTATTTTTAATGTTGAACGAAGTCTCAATGTAATTTTTAAAATACCATATTCATTATTCCATAATTTCCTATAAAAACAGAGACGTAATCAACTAAATCCAATCAGTACGTCATGTTCTTAATTTCTAGCGATAGCTAAAGAAAATATTAAATCCATCAGCATAGTACGGTATACCAGTGGCGTAGGCAGAAGGGGGGGGGGGGGGGGTTTGGGGGGGGGGGGTCATAACCCCCCCCCCATAGACCCCTCGGTATATATATATATATATATAAAAAGTATGAGGGGGTGCAAATCGAAAGTTTGTCCCAGGGTAAAAATTGGAACACCCCCCCCCCTTGAGACGATCCTGGCTACGCCACTGCGGTATACTATAGTAGATTACCTCCCTAACTTGAAACAACTTTTCTTCAAAATTGTATTTGCTAATCACACTAAGACTGCATAGGGCGAATAAACGATAAACATCGTTCCACCTTCTTCTAATGTAGTTTTGTTTTATGTCTACCTAGCTACCTGTCTGAGACCAGTACATAGCCTGGAACTCGCGAGTTCAAGGTCACAGATGTTTCGGAAGATGTGGCTGTCGGCGGCGGCGACGCTGGTGGTGTTGTCGCTGCTGACGTTTCGCGTGGAAGGTCACGGCCGTCTGATGGATCCCCCCGCCCGCAACAGCATGTGGAGGCTGGGGTTCGCGAACCCCGTCAACTACAACGACAACGAGCTGTACTGTGGTGGAAGAATGGTGAGTACATCAGTGGTGTAGCATGCACGTGTGAGCCGTGTTGTCTTTTGGTTCTGCTGATTTAGCTGTACAAGATTTTACAGCCTGTTTTTGTTCTTGGTGGGACAAAGGCTATGGAAAGTAAAGTTTCCTTTTCAAACCTGAGGAAGGTCTATAGGGCAAGTGAAGTGGAGTTCACTTGTTTCTGTGAACTCGGAATATGAAGAGATAGTGTGGTCTACTGACCGGATTCGAACTCGAGACTTAAAGGTTAGCAGTCCAGCTCTCAGCCGCTAGACCACTCCGTCCCCAAAGGCTATGGAACCAAATCCAAAATGAAAAGCAGGCTGAAATCGGAGACAACGGCCTATATGGCGCATAAAAATTTGGCACTTTATACTTAATTTATGTTGGAGGGAATCAATAGGGCTGGTAAGTAGGTCACCAACCAGTTCTACGGCTCAATGAAACTTGCATGAGCCATATAACTGGTTGGTGACCTACTTACCAGCCCTATTCCAGCATTTCAATTGAGAACGAAAAAGAAGAGCCTGTTTGTTAAGACAAGAATTTGCAGTTTGTTTAAACATACCTCATTGTTGGATAATATATAAGATCTACCAGGGTGTTTATGTGACTGCCTGGCCTAGTGGTAGATTTATAGACTGCTACCACGAGATCTAGAGTTCGAATCTGGGGTAAGTCACGTAATAGAAAATAAATTCGGCTATTCATAATGCTGACACAAAAATCAGTACACATTCCTCAAGTACCTTGAGTTTCCAAAAAGAAAGTTTTTTTTTACGCCACAGCTAATAATTTTTTTAAATGAAAAATATTTGTAAAAAAAAAGGTGTAAGTGCCCTGGTTATGTTTTAAAATTATCTTCAGATTAGGAGTCAAGGTCGATCCAGAATCCACTGCGATCTATTGAGTGCAATTTTAGTGGGATCAGGGGTGGTCAATTGTTATAACTACTGACCTGCCAATACCATTCATCGAAGAAGCGTGCGTTATAAGAGGACATCGTTAATGTCTAGACTGCTAACCCGAAAGTCTCCAGTTCGAATCCGCGTTCAAGCCAGTAGAATGTCCCTGAGTTCAGCTCTGATGGGTACCTAACACACGATAGTATCTGTGAGCGTCCTACACCCCCCCCCCCATCCCCTTTCACCCCTGACCACCACTTTACAACCTAAGATCAAAATCATACGCATCAAAAATTTGAAACCGGTCGTCACAGGCTTGCGCTTTCCGTTTCCCTCCCAGCAGTAAACTAGGTGTAAGATGTAACGGGTTGTGTAATTACCAAAGTCAACACCAACTGTAATGTGTCACCCATTTTTTATTTAAAATTTTAACATTTTATTTCCACGTAAAAAAAAAAGAAAAGAAAAGTAACAAACATCTGAAATATTTCTAAAATTTGCATAGAAAACAAAAAAAAAATGCTGAGCTCATCAGCACTGCATTTTAAAACTTTAGATATTTCTATACAACTAGCCAAACATAAACATAAAAAAACACCTAATCCTAAACCTATACCTAAACGTAAACGTAAGAGCGAGGTGTCGGCCGGCTAATCCAACAGTGCCAGTACTGGAATTAACCCTGACGTCAACACGCGCTTAAACTGACCACATGCGTGGGATCACTAGCACCAAACAAGCACACACACAAAAATCTGGGATAGGCGCATTTCAACAAAACCTCCCCAAACTATCGCGAGGCACATACGCCAAATATTACTACGCCGGCGATGACGTAGCAAGTCAACAACGGAGCCCGTCACAAATCACACGTTTAAAGGGAGAGCACTGGGTCGTTCTAGTCAGGCAGGGGAGGGAACCGAGTGTCTCTACTCAAACAACTAACTAGTGCCGCTATCTACTTCTAGCAGTCAGCGAACAGTGGACCAGTACTGTTGTTGTTTCACACAGTTCAACGCGGTTGATTATAGAGTTTGTATTGACTTTCGACTAACGCATGTTTCCTTTAGCAAACTCTCCAGGCGCCGTTGTTAAAATATAGGCCATATTTCCAACACAATTACTTTAAAAGAAAAATAATATCGTAGGGGGTGGGGTGAGGTAATGTGGGGGCGGAAGTGAATGTTGATATTTGAAGTTCCTGGCTCGAAATTCAATAACATCTCAAGGCTACCATGTTGCTTGTTTTTTACCCTCTATGTGTCACTGTATTGATCGTCCTCTGACTACACACAATTTAAAAAAAAAATAGTAGGGCTTCACATATTCGTTGTTTATAGAATATGAAATAAAATTAACTGAATCATTTTTTTACTAAACAATTTAAAATACAGTCACACTTACAGTTAAAGTGTGGGGGTCTACTATAAATGACGTCACTATTTTAGGTGTAAAAGATTGCGTGACGTTTTACCTTGTTAGACCACTCCCCCACCTCCTAATACTAAATATTATGTTGGGCCTAACGTTCGATAGAGTAGATAAAGCAGCAGAGTTCATCAGTTTCCGTAACCATGGTATTTCAAGTAATACTTGAGTCATATTCCAGTAATCTTTTATTTCCCTAATGCAGGGGTCGGCAACCTGCGGCTCTTTTGATATCAAGATGCGGCTCTCCAGCTCCTTGCACAAATACTAATAATCTAAATAAAAAAATAAAATATTTGAAATTAAAAAATGTTAGTGGCTCTTTAAAACCAGGGAAATTTTGAAAATTGTAACATTTGGCTCTTCCGCTTCAAAAGGTTGCCGACCCCTGCCCTAATGAGATACCCACAAGAGCTGGGTGGTATTGGAGTTATAGTAAAGACTCGAGTCCTGGATTCGAACTCCAGACTTTCATGTTAGCATGCATGAACTCAGCCAAGAGACCAGAGTTTCTTCCAGGCATCTCTTCTCTTACTAGTGTCCGCCCCCCCCCCCGAAAATATAGACCCCCCCTCCCGAAAATATCAAGTGTCGTCGCCCCCCCCCCTCCGAACGAGATGGAATGTATATAGTAAACATATACTTTTACTAGTGCCCCCCCCCCCCCCCCCGGAAAATATAGACCCCCCCCCCCCCCCCCCCGAGAAAAAAAGACTGGAAGAAACACTGCCACGGACCACACTACAATTATCGTCCATGTCAACAAAAACTTTTAAAAAATAAAAAATTCCTCTACCCGTCTTCTCCTTACAGACTCAGTGGGCGCGGAACAACGGCAAATGTGGGGTGTGTGGTGACGCCCACCACGGCAAGCGCGAGCACGAGGCGGGCGGGAAGTACGCCAATGGGATCATCGCTCGTGAATACAAGCAGGGTGACGTCATTGACGTCACGGTTCACATCACAGCCAATCACAAGGTGAGAAAAATGAGTATTTTGTTGTTGTTTTTGTTGTTATATATAATGAGTTTAGAAAAATGATTGTGCAACAGAACGTGTATTTAAAGCAGATACTGTTTCTCAATAAAACCACCAATACTATATCTTGTTTGTAGAATACAAGTAACAAAGTTTCATTATTTTGCCTTTACTCTCAATATATTAACTCAGCAGTAAAGAAAATACCATAATTATACATCAAAATCTTAGCTATAGCAACATCGTTAAGTAACAGGGAAGATAATACATTTAAGTGAACTTGTTTAGATCTACGAATTATTTTCATTTTTTTTTCGATTATTTTTTTATCAAATTATTCGATTACAATAATTTCATCATGCTCAACATGCACAGCGCGCGTTACAAGCAATTTAAAACAAAAAAAAAGCTTCCTGGTGATTACATTCTAGGGGAAACAACTCTAATATTTTCGTCTCTCTCTATTCCCCAGGGATTTTTCGAGTTTCGTATCTGCCCAGTCCAAGATCCTAAAGTTGAAGTCACACAGGAATGTCTGGACAAAAATCTTCTGGAGAAAGCAGATGGCAACGGTACTAGGTAAGACATAGAGAAATTTTATTTCTGGCTTATATGATAGTCAAGTCACCAAAAATATTTATGGAAAATATAAATCTTTATAAAGAAAATAATCCATATTAATTTCAATTGGAGATATTCCAGGATTGGTCTTTAAAAAATTTAAAAAATTAAATTTAAGAAATTTTTTAAAATGTGTACTTAACATTGGATAACTTCTGTTTGCAGGTACATGTTGCTTGATGGTCAGTCCAATCAGTTCTTCAATGTTTCACTGCGACTTCCGGCCGACCTGACATGTAAACAATGCGTCATTCAATGGAAGTACAGGACAGGTAAGGTTACTCGCACACTATACAAATCAAGGTTCATTTCGTTTAGCCGTACCCACATACATGGTGTATATAGTGCTGATAATCAGTAGCGTAGCGAGGGGGGGGGGTTGGAAAAATAAATTGAAAGGTTGAGGGGGGTGCAAATCGAAAGTGTGAGGGAGGGGGGGGGGGGTGCAAATCGAAATCTTGAGGGGGGGGGGGGTGCAAATCGAAATGTTGAGGGGGGGGGTGCAAATCGAAATGTTGAGGGGGGGGGGGGGGTGCAAATCGAAAAGTTTGTCCCCGTAGCCGGGAAGGGTCGCTACGCCTCTGCTGAAAATAGGTTTTCAAGTTAACATAAGCTCTAAACACAACTCGCATAAAACGTTTCCTATTAAACTAATGATTATTACTAATGTCTTGGCTAATCAAAAAGTACTAATAAATTAATTATAGTTATTAAAACTTAGGCGTATAGTAATTACATTATCAATCAGCTTGATTTAAACGTCGAATTATCACAATGTGTTAAACAAACCAGTAATGGAATCCTAATTAAACATCCCTAAATATTCCTAAATATCCCTAAATATTCCTAAATATCCCTATATATTCCTAAATATCCCTAAATATTCGTAAATATATAAACTCTATTAGACGTTAGTATTCGATTCTTAATTTTCCTCCCAAAAACAAACACACGTGTTATTTGGAAAACAAAAAAAAAGAGAAAAATTCGTTTGAGACGAGTATTGAATTCATTGAGATACCTCAACAATAATTCCGAAGTATACAGTAGCGTAGCGAGGGGGGGGGGGGACATATGTCCCCGGGCGCCGACCTTAGGGGGCGCCAAAATTCGTTGGAAAAATAAATTGAAAGGTTGAGGGGGGTGCAAATCGAAAGTTTGAGGGGGGGGGGTGCAAACCGAAATCTTGAGGGGGGTGCAAATCGAAAAGTTTGTCCCCGGGCGCCGGGAAGGGTCGCTACGCCTCTGCATGTATATTTTATACGATAGTCTAAACAAAGCGGTATAGACATAAAATATGTTGCTATGACGTTACTTGATTGTCTACATTGTCTCCCTCTCTCCAGGCAACACCTGGGACAAGGACGAGACGGGTAAATTCTGCGTGGGGTGCGGACCCCAGGAAGAGTTCTACAACTGCGCTGACGTCACGATACACGCCAAAGAAGCGGAGAAGCAGAAATCACCGCCAGCCGGCAAAAGCACCACGAAGCCTCAAGGTATGGTCAAGAAGGAGAACATCGTTTTCACTAACGAGGACCCTGATGCCAACAGTAAGATGAGCCGGTACGGGAAACAGAAAGCCAAATTTGTCCAGGATTCGGCCAAATATTCCAATTTGGCAACCGATAGTAAATTAGTTACCCAGAGTAACGTGGTAGATGCGAACCAAATGAAAATTGAGAAAGAAAATAATTTCGAAATGTTTAAAAAATTCAACGAGCCGTCCAGTATTTACAAGACGAACGCGAGATTCGGGTACCTCGGCGAGGCTATGAACAAGGGGAATGTTCAGGCCGAGTCGGTGCCACAGAGTCCAGCGTTGGAGCCATACAGGTGGCAGGCCGGCATATCGAAGAATGTCGTCTCTAAAGAAAACTCCAAACCACAAGGCTATAGCGTCGTTGCTGAGGATAGGACTAACAGCTTGCCGAGCAGCGCTTCCAAAGAAAGCAACGCCCCCATCAAAACCGTCCTGGTCATCAGTAAAGACGGCAGTTACATCAAGGAGCGTCCAAGTCTACAGACCAGACAAGAGGCTCAACCAGTCCCTAGACGCACGGCAACCAGCAGCCCAAATCAGGTTCAAACCACGCAAGCAAAACAGGCCGAACAGGATGAAAGTTTCCTGCAAAGATGGAAGCTTATGCGTTTGAGAAACCTGATCAATCAAATCACGACAAATGCGTCGACCAACGAAAACACTCCTGTTAATGAAATATCAAATGAAAACACCCCTGTTTATGAATTATCCAATAAAAACATCCCTAGCTCTTCAACAGTCAATGAAAATCTTCCTATCACTCATTCAGCGGCTGAGGTTCAAAAACAGCAGATGTTGAAGACGATTCAAGCAATGCGACAAAATGGAAAAAGCAGACAAAACATCGACTCCAGATCACCCTTCACGCCTCCTCCATCAGACAAACTGGCACCCGCATCCCAGAATTCAACTGTCATTAAACCTGCACCAAAACAAACAACCATCTCAAGTAGTCTACACAAATATCTGAGAAAACGAATCCCCACTTGGCTCATAGCTGCACTTAGACTAAAACAGAAAGAAGAAGAAGAAAAGAAGGCCAACAGTTGGAACACTGCTAGGGACAACGAGATCTCTAATGGGCTTCAGCAGCCTTCTGTACAGGATAAATCTGTCACTCAGGTTATTCCCACACGGGCCAATATAACATCTACACTTCATCAAGACTCACAAGCAAAGCCCGTCGTCTCTAACTCTCTTGAGAAGAAGATCAGTCAAGGAAAAGACAGCGCTAAGTCAATGAGTACGAAAGAGAAGGAGCACTCAGAAAATACGAAGACGTCTTCGGTAGCTGAACAATCCCCAAGTAATAAAAATAGAATTTCGGAGACAGTTGATCCTAAATCTGTTAACAAAAACCTTAAACTTTCTGATACAGTTGAGTCTAAGCCTGTCAACAAAAACATCAAAGTATCTGAGACGGCTGAGCCTAAATCTGTTAGCAAAAGTCAAAAGGTGACTTGGTACAACAAAGGGAAGTTCACGACAACGCCATTATTTTTTACTCTCACAACAACAACACGAAAACCTTCCGACAAACAGGCTGCACTCCCGAAGAAACAGTCCAGTAGTCTCAAACAGAACAAAGAAACAAGTCAAAAAGATGAAAGTAATGAGGATGATACCGAGTCTTTAGTGCGTTACATCATTGCATCTTTGATTTCCAAGAAAGTTGACAATTTAAAACAAGACGCTGACCAAGTTGAAATAGAAGAACACGAACCCCGCACCGTAGCCTATAGAGCTGACGTCACACAAGCACACAACCACCACAAAGCTACCACAGGTCTGCCAACTATTTCACCTTGGTTTGTTCCTGTTACTAGTAAAATACTAGCATCGAACCCGGTTGTGTACGGAGCCGCAGAAAAGAATTTGCATGCTAAACAATACAGTATCAACTCTTTAGAAAGTCAGGATAAACTACACCACGACAGTAACCACATTACTGCAGGAAACCCCGCAGCTGTGATCCCACAGCCGTACAATGGGGTCGTGTTAGGGTCGGATTACAGCTACAACCAGGGCCGTGCTAACAACGTCAGATCCGGTTATCAAGCCAGTCCTTGGGAGAGCCGTAACGCTTACGACAACAGCGCTACCATGAACGCGTATCTGAACTCTCTCCAGGGGATGTTCGGTGAAAGGAACTCTGGGAAGTCTGGGTACAGCTCGGTGGCGTACAGTAACAACGTGGCGTACCCCCAGGTTGCGAACAGCGTAAACTACGCCCAACCCTCTAACCACAACACACAGCCGCGACAGCAGCAGAGTTGGGTGAACGCCGCCGCTTCTAGTGTGGTGGAACCACTCGTCAAAGACCCCAACCATATGTGGGCGTCTCGCGCACAGCAGAGACAGGGGTACTACCAGCCCCAACATGGGGTGGACGGCCCCCGTCTGGTTTGTGAAGCTTTAATCACCCTCGGGGGTGGTATGGATAAGTGGTGCACGGACAACTGCAACGCCAACTTCTGCCCGGAGACGATCTGCGTGTGTAAGAGGCAGCAGCTGGAACCTGTCCCAGCATACAACAGCTACTCATCCTTGTCCAGGAACCCGAGCTCTGCATGGAGCAATCAAAGACCAATCCCTGAGGCTTACAGTGCAAGGTCGTCTCTATACAACACATTGGCCAGGAAACACGCACCAGCACATCACAGCACTACAGATATTGACCGAGTTCAAATGTTGACATCACGTGCGCCATCTTTCTTTTCGTTCCAGACGACAGCTTTCCAATCCCCCGCCCCCACCACCTCCACCTTCGCCGCCTACCATCCAAACAGCCCTAAAAACATTGCCAGCTCGAATTCTATTTACCAGCAGCCTCAGTATTTCAACCAACCAGAAAGCTATAACAGAAACAACTTCAATGCAGTTGACCAATCAGCGCCATCGTTTCAAAATACGCAGAATAAGATTGGTCAATCAAGCCACAATTTGATGAGCCACGCCAATCAAAACACACAAAACATGATTAGCCATTCAAGTAACCAGATGAACACTGACAACGCATTACCCCTAGGTGTCAGCTGGATATCTTCAAGTGATAAAACGCAAGACGGAAACGTGCAAGAATCGTCTTCGCAAAGAAGATACAGAGCGTCCAGTTCAATGGTACTTGACAGCAGACCAAAGCGATACGAACAAACGAACAGCAATCGCATCGTAGCAAGCCACACCGCAGAAGAACCTTACACACCACAGCGATCTTCCCACAAGGTAGAGCCACAAAACTCAAGGCCTCATATGCAAGCCTACATGGCAAGCCCCCATCAGGACAGCCCCTCGGTCAGGGCCGAGAAGCCCACGCGGCTCAACTGCCGGGCCGTGGGGGCGTACCGTGGGCTGGACCACTTCGACGAGTGGTGCGAGTCTACTTGTGTTAGCTCCGTATGTCCGCTCCTCATGTGCGAGTGTGATAGCTAGTTCTACAGCTAGTTTTACAGCTAGTTCTACGGCTAGTTCTACAGCTAATTCTACAGCTAGTTCTACAGTTAGTTCTACAGCTAGTTATATAGCTAGTTCTATAACTAGCTCTACAGCTAGTTCTATAGCTAGTTCTACAGCTAGTTCTACAGCTATTTCTACTAATCAACTGTGATATAAATAGAACTAAATGCGAACAGTGCCAATGGCCGGAAAACGGTTATACCGATAACCAAAATGACGTAGCCTTAGCACTGAGACAACGCATGTCTAAAATACACTGTTCACTTCAAAAAGCTGACAATCCAAATAAATACTTCCGTTGCTCAGTTTTGGAAGCAGAGTCCAAATTCCAGAGTGTTTACAGTATTAAAACACCGGACATTGACACTTGGTAAAAAAAATTACGGTTAAAAAAAATGTGCTGTTTTATTTTCATTGAGATGAATGACAAAACCATCCCAGTGTTTTGTATATACAACATAACCAACACCAGTATTCTCAATGTACAGAAATCTACACGTTTTACAAGCAATGCGTACAGTTTATACCTGCAAGTAATATATTTTTAATTTGAAAATTGTATTGCAAAAATTCACCAACCAGATTTGATGAGTTTTTTTTATTTATATAATATAAGAAACACGAGTTAAAATAGATAAAATTATAATTTTGTTTAAATAACAAGAAACAGAATAATAACTGTAAATATTTTAATGACATCAAACATAGAATAGAATATTATGTTAGTTTACTAGAAAAATTGATTGAATTTGAAGCATGATGATTTGATTGGTGTGTTCGATTGACGAATGTGTTTACTGAGAGATTGTGATGTAAATATACGAGCTTGGTTTTTCATACAAATGTAAATAGTAACTAAATATTTATTCCAAAATGTTATCTTTTTAAATCAGGAATTAATTTTTTAAATATTATTTTTTTTCTGAAAAAAAAACCGCTTTTATATACTCATCCAGTTTGTAAGCTAAACATCTATTAATATGAAAATTAGACCTACATTCACTTCACTTTGATATCGAAAATATTTCTTAGTAGCCTATATGTTTAACCATTCCACTTGTATATATTTTAATAAGTTGAATTAACAACATATCATCCCAACTTAATGTCCATGTCTATACAAATTGAAAATTGTTAGCGTTGTAGATGCTTCCTTTAGCAAAGGCTAAATCTCGGATTGGATTGTTTACTCTATAATGCTCATAAAATGTAGTACCATTGTTAAATAGTGTAACAATACGCAATGTAGTCCCTAATGTATCTAGCTTGTCCCGTCCTCTAGTACGCCTTTAGTGTATATACAACTTATACTTCCATGCTCATTACCATATATCATTCAGCTAATTTATATTCTAATTTAGTTACAAAAACTTCATCGCGTTTTTAATTAGTAGGCCCATCATTACCACCATCCCATCCCATTATATTCACTAAATTAGGAGTTTAGTTAGATGTTTATGATTACAACCTATTTCAATCCTAATTTTACTTTTCCCAGCCAACATCAAAACAGTTCATGACAAATTATCAACGCCAAAATGTGTATATTGTTTCGTTTTATCATATTTTTATATAATCTAAGTATCTAGGTTTTTTACCTTTCTATATTTAAACACATTATCTGCTTGTAAATTAGTGAGCTTTTTTGTACCTACCATATATTTGTAGCAAGTTTTTTAAAAGAAATAAACTATTTATAAATTTATATGCTTTATTATTGGTTTATACTTATTTAACTTTTGAGGTTGCATGGTCGAGCGGTTGCGCAAAAAAAAAAAAAAAAAAAAAAAAATCAACTGAAAGCTGCTGTTCGGGTTCAAATGTTTGTCGTTAAGAGCACCATGAATCTACCTCTGATATGTGCCCAGTGGCGTAGCCAGGATAGTCTCAGGGGGGGGGGGGGGACGACAAACTTTACCCGGGGACAAACTTTCGATTTGCACACCCCACCTTAACTTTCGATTTGCACCCCCCTCATACTTTATATATATATATATATATATATATATATATATATATATATATATATATATATATATATATATAGGCTATATATATATAGGCTATATATATATAGGCTATATATATATATATATATATATATATATATATATATATATATATATATATATATATATATATATATATATATATATATATATATATATATATATATATATATATATATATATACCGAGGGGTCTATGGGGGGTTATGCCCCCCCTAATCCCCCCCCCCTGCCTACGCCACTGTATGTGCCTTTACCTGGCCGAGTAAGGTCCCAATCCTTGTCATAAAGACCACCATCAAGCTATAGGGCTGGTAAGTAGGTCAACAACCAGTTCTACGGCTCAATAAAACCTGCATGAGCCATAGAACAGGTTGGTGACCTACTCACCAGCCCTATCTCTGATAGGTGACTTTACCTAGTCATGCGACAGTGCCAAGGAAACGGATCTAATCTTCTTCATCGTGGCTTCTGACTGGCAGTCCTGAAGGTTTAGATTTTGAAAGTGTGATTATGTTTAGATAATTAGATTTAACGAGCCTACCCGCGGCGTATCATACGCCGATATTTAGTTGTTTTATTTTCTACTTTTCAGTAATTCATAATTTATGAATTCGACAGTACCAATGCTGCCACTGAAAATATCTGCTTTAAAACACTATCAGTAGGTCGTTAAGGACGATACTATCCCCACCCTCCTTTCTCCCAACCCCTACCCTACACCCCCCCCCCCTCGTGAAAGCAGCCTCTTCTTAGTTACCTCCCCTAAGTTTAAAATCGTTTCAAACTAAATTATCTGCCCCTAATAGCCGTCACTAAACCCGGCTCTACGACTGTAAATAAACATTTAGCGTGAACCGAAGCTCACCAGACCATGTAGGGGTGGGGTGGTAGGGAGCGCGCTTTCAACTTGTTTTCTAGCGTCTCCCAGAAGAGAATTATATATATAGATTGGTTTCTGGTATTATTATCTTATTAGAAAACTAAAGTCTTATACTTCGTCCTAGTATGTAAATATTTGAGAATCATACAACTCGTGCGACATCGCAGATAAGCGGCATACGGATCTCCTGATTTTGGTACCAGAGTCCTGACCGTGTCTGTTGGTACGGAGACTTTAGAGAGGTTACTCAGTTTTTGTAAGAGCCGAATTGTATTTTTCCGCAGTTTCAGAAGGAAGGGAGGTAACAAACTGAGAAACATGATACATCACCCATGGTATCAAAAGTAGATTAACATGCATCGTCAGATGAGCTGTTTCAATTTTTTTTTTAAATTTAATAATATAAAATCTTTTATCGTAGTAAACTTTTATATAGGCATATACATTCAAAAGAAGAAAAATATGATTTTCTTTGAATATAATTATAATATTTACCACTAAACAAATGATTATACAGAAAAGTGTGGGTCGCTTAATAAATTTTAGTAAATGTATTCAATAAAGGGGGCACGAATGGCAAAAGATGATGATTCAGTACAGAATATGTCGACCCATGCTTTACGTTTCAGTTATTAAAGTAGTAGTGTATAATTAGCATAATTATCTTAATAAAAATCACAATTTTTAAAATTCATTTTATACTCACATAATATCTTATTTCTTATTATAAACCTTTACCATTTATTTTTTTAGTTAACTTTTAACATTTTAATCGAATCGCATAACAAAAAATACTTGCTTCCCAAATGCAAACACATCTTTTATAAATCTTTTAAACAATAATTAAACATCTAACTATGCCGAAGTTTATGCAATGCCCTCAAGATTGAAAGAAATCGGTTCGATATAATATGTGGTTATTCTTCAACCATTGACCAAGTAATAGGAAAAAAAGAGAGAGAAATGAAGATAGACATAAGGTTTGTCTAAATAACTGGATAGTCGACGTTATTTTAATTAATCTTCTACCTAATCTAATTATCAATATTTCTTTTCTGTAGGCCTAAAAGATAAAGATTTAGATCTAGAATCTAGATCTCCTACAGTTTTCAGATATGAGGGTACCTGACCCAGGTACCCTGGGAATTTGCCCAACAATATCAGTGTTTCTTCCAGACTTTTTTCTCCGGGGGGGGGGGGGGGCACTTGAAATTTTCGGGGGGGGGGGTAGACTTTCTTCGTGGTGGGGGCGGACACTGTTAAAAGTATATATTTTCTATATAAATTATATAAATTTAATTTCGTTCGGGGGGGGGGGGGGGGGTGGGCGGTAAAAAATTTTCGGGGGGGGGGGGGGGGGGCGAAGCCGAAGAGATGCCTGGAAGAAACTCTGAACAATATATAGATTATAGATCCATATAGATTTAACCATAGACTGTAATAATAATATAATAAAATACTGTCAACTTTTAAAATAAATATTTTAATGCATTGCCCACTGCACCAGAATTATTCTGTTATTTTAAATTTTAGAAATCAAGTTGATATAGCGTGTAACAAGCAATATAAAAAATATTATGGAAGAAGAAAGAACGTTGTATAGGCTAATGTAGGCCTAACAGTCAATAATAGGCCGTAATTTAAATAAATAATTTAGTGTAGATCTCGTTGTTTTATTGTCTAGTACTGGTGGTACAGAGATTGGAATCTAGGTCAAGATAAAGCAGACTATTATTTTTCCTCTTTTGAGGTTATTTATAGATCCTAGTTGTATTTTTTTTTTAAATTAAAATTTAGGAATTTAACTAGGCCTACGGAGACTGAAGTAAATTTCTCGGTAAGATAGTGAAACCGGAAGTTTCTTTTCCAACATGGCGCCAGTTTACAATTTTTAATCAAAACAAAGGTACACACATCAAGCACAGTGATTATTCTGATGCTGCTTTGGACAAATATTTCATTTTAGCTTAAAGGCATTTTAACGTTTGCATATGTGAGTGTTTTTTGGAGTTATTTGCCGATTTTTTTTCTTTAATTAAGGTTTTAGCCGTGTTGATTCGCAGTTCGTCAATCGCTGCATGTTGGAACTTGAAATCAGTGTGTTTGTCATTTCGATCATGCACTGCCGGTGGTCTGGATAGCCAGTGTAATTCTGAAATTCTTCTGTGTATTAAGAGTATAGTCTAGTATTATTCTTGATTAAGCCTAGTTTAAATGATTTTTATGTTCATGATCCACTTCTTATATAATTAGTAAAAGTAGATCTAGATCTAGATCTAGTAGAACACACGAATCTAGACTCTAGGTCTAGATCTAGAATCTAGCTAGAAGAGTAGTTTTGAGTAGTCTAAGACTCTAACTACTCTAAGAGTTATTTTTAGGCGAGGACTCACCATGCCCATCAATTTCATCAAATTATTCAGTGCCTAAATTTAGCCTGCTAGATCTAGATGATACTAGGTAATCAAGATGGTTTAAATTGTGAAATCATCAAAATGTAAATAATTGTGAATAGTTTGTATAGGCTAGAGCCAGAGTAGATCTAACTGATCTAGAATCTAGTGACTGCAGAAACCAGTAGTGTAAATCTAGAATCTAGATGTCTATAGCTGGACTCTAGATTGTCAGCTTAGCCTAAGTCCAGTAATAAGTAGTAGATCTAGAATCTAATTTCTAGTAATAGCAGTACTAGTACGTTTAAAGAGTGATGACTTACTGATTCGTTCCGAGCACTTACTGGGCCTAATTTTAAAAATAAAAGAATCAAAGATAGATAAGCCTGCAATTTCCCTGCCCTATCCTATTACATCTATTTGTAGTCTATGGAGTCCATAAAACTAGAATATTTCATTTTTATTTTAACAAACTAAGAGCCACGTAGAGCCTATTCAGTCTTAATTTGTTTTGAAATGTTAGCCTATAACTGAATTATAAATAAAGATTTAGGCCTAATTTACAGCATATCAATGAAATTTTAAACTTTATCAACGGCATAAAGTTACATGGATAGATGGAATAGAGCACAACCCCTACTCCATCCAAGTCCTTGCATTTGTTCCATAGATCGCCTGATCAAATGAATGAACCCTTTATTAAGACCAGAGTTATTTTCATATTTCACCAGAATTGTTTTTTAATCACTTAATTTGTTTCGGTACTTATGCCCCAAAACGACTCGTATCATAATCTTTTTACCTGTTATTTTAAAGCCGATGCATAAAATAATTTTAATTAAATAACCTAATGTTAATTTTAGTAATTTTTTAATTGACGAAAGACAATTACTTAGTTTTAAAGAATAATAAAGAGAAATAAACTGTTGATTTTTTTTCAGAAAAAAATATACATTCTAGATAAATTTAATTCTTTCAATAATTGTAATATGTAATTATGCAGTAATTTGTGACTCTAATGTAATACACTATAGCCACAATGAGGGAAAATTGTCTTCTAGTATTTTAGGGCCAGAAGTTATTTGTTGACAAGGCGCATCATGTGCAGCAAAAGGGTCCAAGAAAACATTTAATTCTGATTAATAGGCCAGCAACGGTGAATCTAGCAACCACATATCAAATCGCAACCACATGTCAAATGAATTCATATGACCTTTAGGTCTATATTGTTGTTTGCTTTACCTTTTGATTTTACTTGTCACTAATAAATAGTTTTATTTTATTCCATAGATTTCACTGCTTTTGCTGAAGTTTTGAAATAACCCATCACCATTGCTTCTACCAAACCATCGTCAGCCATGATTGAGAGCGTGCAGGCTCGTCAGCGAGGGGCTTTCAACTTTGCTGACCACTACGACAATTTGTGTGCCCTGCAGGACAGTGTGCCCCTGCCCTCAGTCAAGTCTCACCTGGGGCAGGGGGTCATTGACCTCAATGGAGATCGCATTCGGTAAATTGTATTACAAATTTGTTGGTATATCACTTTTATCAGACTTCCCAAATTATTGATTTAAATTTATAGTGACTACCAAGCTTGGTTAGTATTGATGCTTTCTCCAAAACTACGTTTTATATTATATAGTCAGATTAAATAGTATAAAAGTAAAAGTATTATATCAGGGTTATTGATAAACACTTGTATACTGTGGTAGGTAAGTGGCCTGAAAATCTCACACTTTGATTGGAAATTAATTTATACACCCAGCCCCTGCACTTGCATAGTGCGTCTTTATTCTTGACACTACATAATGGGATGGCATGCTAGCTACCTACCTTCCTTTATTCTTGACACTTTGATACAAAGTGGGATGGCATGCTAGCTACCTACCTACCTTGTCACTCTGTAGTTTTAATTTTTTATGTCACAATATTGTATTTTACACTTTAAATGATGATATTTAACATGTTAGAATAATTCTGCATTCTCGCATATCGTAAATAATGTCTCACACATTTTTCCTTCGCTTGACTCCTATCTCTTATCATATATAATTTCATTACCGAATAATACCAAATGCTAATATCCTTGACCTGAAGTGACAATTCTTTCAACCCCCCCCCCCCCCCCCGTATATTTATGACAAAAGTTTACACATTTTTCATAATATCCCCATAGAGTTGTATCCCCTTATAAAGCTATAGTTATTTTGTGTTAACTAATGTATGCAGATGTGCTCATATTGTCATTATATTGATCCAACTGTTGTATGTTGCAGGTTGGGAGATTGGCAGCCCATCATCAACACAATCAAGATCAACAAAACCCTACAGTTTATAGCTGTACGCAGCTACTACCAGATAGCACCTGAGGAAGATGGTCAGTTTTTTTTTATTATTCTCTCTGCTGGTGCAGATATGTTTTTATATAAGACTTCGACTTGGTAATGCTATTGCTTTTTGGTAATATTCCTGGCTTTGTTTGTGATGTTTTCCTCACCTTTAAGTGTAGTTGGTTGTCTAGTGGTAAAATAAAGATTCCTCTTTACACCTGGCACTTAATTGGGCAGATGAAGTAGAGTTTATATGTTACCTGAACTTGGCATATGAAGGGTAGTGTGGTCAGCACTATGCTCAGCTGCCTTTACTTTCTCCAACATGAGTTACATACACATCAGAGCTGGGTGGACTCAGGTCGTTCCACCGACTTAATTCCGGATTCGAACTTGAGACTTTTGGGTTAGCAGCCAAGCGCTCTACTGCTAAGCCACACCATCTCATAGTTGTCTAGTAATAGTGAGTGTATTTTACTATGTGGAGGAAATTACTTTGACACTAGAATATTCACCACTTTTGTTACTTATTAAACCTTAGCTCCACCCTGCTAGCCTAGCTCAAAATGTTCTATTCAACTTGCTCGAAACTATACACTAGATTTCCCCATACCTGGCATGCTTTGGTCTGCTCTGGAACACTGGAATTATCTGACCAATACAACCCTTGTATTCTATTGGGGGTGGGGATAATGTGTATTGGTGATGGTCCAAACAGAAGAGTATTTGTCCCTGCATCAATTATAGCTAGTTCACTGAGAAGTTTTTACAATAATATGTCAATACCATATCAGGTTTATATTTAAACCTGTAACTTTACACAAGTTTAGGACATTATCACCAGAAGATTCTTCCCCTTTCCCCGCTTGATGATGATACAACTTATTATAACATTACCTGGAAAGTGAGGAAATTAGCATTTTACAGATTTATAGATTGACTGGAAATGTTTATCAATATTTTTATTTTTTTAGGAATAGTAAACCATGGTCTAAATCCAAGTCCAAAAATCTATTTTTAAAAATTTGAATTTGTGTGTTCTCACAGAGAAGAGAGCTGCCCTGCTGAAGAGGAAAATGCCAGCCATCAGATCAAAGGAGATAACTCACAGGCTGGTGAAGGCGCTGAAAGAATGTCTGTTTATCTCCCCTACCCTCTCCTGTATAGAGCTGCAGGGTTTGGCTCTGAGGGAAAGAGATCTACAGCTTCTTGTCAAGGTATAATTTTTTTCAGTGGTACTGAACATAATTTTAATTGAGGAACTTACAACATTTGTGTGTTCTTATCCAATGCCTACAGCTGCTTCCCCAAAACCAGACTGTTCTAACTGCACTTTTGCTTTTTTTTTTAGATTCATACATTTTTATTTTTCTAAATCCACCACCTTTGATGTCAAAAATATTTGTGACACCATCTTATGCCTGTATTATACAAAATTCCATTTTATCAAGTGCTATATAAAGAAATGTTAAGGGAAACAAAGTTTTATTGTGTCTGGGGGTTTGTGAAGTGATATTACTACAGCACAGATTTATATCTTGAGCCTTATATTGGCCTACGGGTGTTTTTGAGAGAAGATATGTAACTCTTTTAGCAAAAGAGGAAACTGTAATGTCAGTCATATCAACAATTATGATTGTTTGTTTTTAGGCACGTTATGTAGTTTAGTATCTGTTTAAGTTTTGCTTACGGTAAAGGATCCATAAAAATGTAACATCATTGTTTGCACAGTAGTCATCATAGATACTGTGTTGCATTAATTTTTGAAGATAGATTTGTAGAAATATTAGAAAACTGGTTTAAAGCTGATTCTAAAAGAAATTTGATGTAGTTATATTGATGTCCTACAAAATAATTAGTTGTTGATCTTATATTCTCCCACCAGGGTATATTAAAAAGTTCAACCCTCCGCCACCTGTCACTGGAGATGTGTAGGATTGGTGACCAAGGACTGGAAGGTAAGTGTTTAACTTTGGTTTAGCCAGGGGTAGGCTCAGTTTAACTTTGGTTTAGCCAGTGGTAGGCACAGTTTAACTTTGGTTTAGCCAGTGGTAGGCACAGTTTAGCTTTGATATTTAAGTCAGTACTAGGCTCAGATAAACTTTGGTTTAGCAACTTTGGTTTAGCCAGTGGTAAGCACAGTTTAACTTTGGTTTAGCCAGTGGTAGGCACAGTTTAACTTTGGTTTAGCCAGTGGTAGGCACAGTTTAACTTTGGTTTAGCCAGTGGTAGGCACAGTTTAACTTTGGTTTAGCCAGTGGTAGGCACAGTTTAGCTTTGGTTTAGCCAGCGGTAGGCACAGTTTAACTTTGGTTTAGCCAGTGGTAGGCACAGTTTAACTTTGGTTTAGCCAGTGGTAGGCACAGTTTAGCTTTGATATTTAAGTCAGTACTAGGCTCAGATAAACTTTGGTTTAGCAACTTTGGTTTAGCCAGTGGTAAGCACAGTTTAACTTTGGTTTAACCAGTGGTAGGCACAGTTTAACTATTGTTGTTTAACCAGTGATAGGAACATGTGAACAGAGTTTAACTTGAGTTTTTTAATATTCTTGTTATGATTTGTTTCAAAAAAACCTTTGATTTTTTAAACTTAAACTGTGTTTTTCCAGTTTTGTAAAATGGTTTTAAATTGTTTTGTTCTTCCAGGTTTATTTATTTCTATTTATTTAGTTTTGTGTGAAGGATTATTTTTTTTCCTGTTACTCTCATTTTGTGTAAAGGATTTTTTTAAAATTCTGTTTTACCAGTTTTGTGTAAAGGATTAAATTGTTGTTCTATCTTTCTAGTTTTGTTTCATGGATTTATTTTTTTAATTCTGTTTTCCAGTTTTGTGTAAAGGATTAAAAAACACAAAGAACATTCACTCCGTCAACCTCAGCGGGTGTAGTCTGTCACAGAGAGGGGCGGAGGCACTGGCAGCCGTCGTCAAGGTAATGGCACTTTTTTAATTCACTATCTTTTTCTCTTCCTCTAAGCTTTCAATTAAGACCTATTTCTCTTTTTTATTCTGATTACCTATGGTTTTTCTCCTTATAACCTATGTCTTTATTCCTTATGACCTAAGTCTTTATTCCTTATGAGCTACATGTTTATCCATGTTAATGTAGGTCTTTCTCCTTGTTGACACTTATTTAAGGTTAAATTCATGATTTTTGCTATCTGTATTATCATGCTTTTTCTTTGAAGTTGTCTTTAGTGTAAAACTTAATGTTAGTAAAGACTTTCTTCGTATTCCTTCTTGTAAAAGAAAATTTGACTTTACCCTATACTGTTGACTAAACCATAGCTTGAGAATGTTAAAGTTAGTTCTTGAGAGTGTTAACATTAGTTCCTTAAGAACTGCCATTCATGTGATGACTATATTCACTGGCGTTGTATGGCTAACCCAACTGTAGAAGTTTTTGTCATGCCTATTATTCCACACACAAGCTACAGTCATATCCAGACTTATTTTAAAAGTAATTGTGCATCGAACTTCTCAACTATGCTTAAATCTCCTAATACTTTGTATTTATTTACATTCCTCTTCAATATATATATATATATATATATATATATATATATATATATATATATATATATATATATATATATATATATATATATATATATATATATATATATATATATATATGCAAAAACACACAGACACAAGACTTTCTACTATTAAAATATATTATATAAATACCTGTTTAACTGTCAGTAATTAAGTAATTAACTCAATTATAATTATATTTAAAAAAACTTTTTTTTGTGTTTGGTCCCTTACCACTTAAAGAACATGTGTAATTAGTTTTGTGTTGTTTTTTTTACTGACGTTGCCATAGCAACCATGGGCTTGAAGTGATTTAATGTATAGATTTTCTTATTTGCTTTCTGGGCCAAACCTTCCTTTTGTTATGTAACAAGAAATTGGGTTGGGTGTGGGCGTCTCATTAGCACCAGCTGATAACTGAGTGGTGCCTTGTTGTTAATGGTTTTATGGGACGTTTGGCCACCAGTTTAAGCACACAACAGTAAAACCTGTGTTTATTTCTCTTGTCAGTTTTTGTTATATTTATGTTGCACTTTAACTGATAAATTATTATCATCTGTTGAGGTTATAATTAATTGCAAATACAAAAAGAAATTGATGTTAGTGTATGGTCGTTAGTGTATTGTTAGTGATTGACTAGTAGTGTGGAATATGGCTGTGTGTCTGTGGTAGTTTATAGCTGTCAGTTTTGTTTAGTTATTGCTGTCAGCATATGGAAATGGTTGGTATGTTATAGTTACTACTGCAGTAAAGCACATATTCTCGTTGAGCAGACACGCTTACGCCTTTGTCCAACAATTGTGGTTACACCATCATTCAACAGACAAGGTTACCCCATATACACGATTACCCCATCATCCAACAATGAAAGTTACCCCAACATACACGATTACCCCATCATCCATCAAACACATTTACCCCACCTCTCACCTCCCCATCCCGCCAATACTCAAGCCTCGATCAACTCCATCGTACAAGAATACCCGCGAATTAAAACAGCTTTTAGCGTTAGCATTTAACGTAACGACAAATACATTTTTAACTCATTACGGAGTTCACGCACTAGCTGTATAAAAACTATCCAATAATATATAATGTATTTATTCTTTTTTTTCACAAACACCTTAACACACATTTTATAGCTGTATATATGTATATGAAGACCTCTGGGGCTAAACCACAATTTTCGACTTTAGAAGAAAAAGACATTTTGTTTTACGGCATAATTTTAAAATCAAAAATATTTCCGTGAACGAGGTGGTTTTACGCTTTGAAACTGTTATACGTGGTAGGTATGTACTAGTACGGCATGAATAGGACATCAGTGTTATTTGGTGTGGGTGTAGCACAAAAGGCAGACACCCAAATGGCCGACAGACTATAAGGCCGACAGTCATAAAAATCATCGTATCGTAAAATATATGTTACTACATAGCTTATCTTAAGACAACCATCAAAGAACGAAACCAATGGCCGCCGGCATCAACGCCCACATGCTATAAGGCGAACGTTCAAAAGAAAAGGCGATGCTAGTAGCTATCCTTATATATACACGTAGTTTAAACTTAAGTTGTGTAATTTCCTCACAGCTTATCAGACGACTAGCTTGACATATCTCATACTATATTTTCCTACCAGTATCTGATGCTTTGTGTACCGGGTATTTCATTGAGTCTTGTCCTGTGTGCTAGCGTGAATCGTCGACAGCGCCCCCTACAAAAAACCGTTGCTAGCGTGAATCGTCGACAGCGCCCCCTACACAAAAAAAAACAACCGATCTTGTCAATTATTGACTCCTTGACGTGCCCCACTAACGAGGTCAAAGTAGACGCCAATCGAATGGGCGTGTCAACCGTCTAAAGATACTTCCGCTTCCGGTGGGTTTTTTTTTCTTGTTTCTTGCTCCTGAAGACATGAAGAAAATATTCTGATCGCTAACGGATTCATGTATGCCAAATGTTTGTTGAAAGTTGTTTTTTTAGTGTCCATGGTGATTGTTTTGTTCCTGTCATACAATGTGTTTGTATCTTTAAGCTGATTCTAGTCCTAGCCCAACTCTACCACTAACTGTAGTATCAGAAAGAAATAAACAATTGTACTATTTTTCTCTGATTTTTATTTGACAAGGCTAGACACTGTTGGATGCATCAGAAGGGGTTGTATCGAAACGTCATTAGTGACTGTAGTTCTAGTAGCCCCGTGAGACTTCCTGATACTTTTGTTACTGTCGTTTAGAAACACTGTTACTACTGCCCTTGTGGCATGGCCCCGGAGAATACAGAGCACGACCTACGGGACTGTCACTTCTACAACCAGGCGTGATCCAAACACTGGCCCCTACACACCCCATTCAAGGAAAAATTGTATGGGGCACCCGCATATCTGGAGACCACAGTCCAGTTCATACACGAAGTTGGACTTGTTTAAATTCTCCACCATAAATTCAACTACGAACGCAGATGAAGAAGAAAAACGTCCACTACCAGTTTATATCTCACCCATTTGCTAATAAGGATCTTGTTCAGATTAACCACGCGAAAAGGTTAACCACCACCACCCAAAAAAAAAATATGTATATAAAAAAGAATCTGAAACTTATACTTATATATTTTAATGACGATGGTGAAATTGGGACAAGCCATTAATAAGTCACATACAAAGTTCTGTATTTTGGTACCATTAACTCCGACACTCAGGGTTGCGTGCGTGCATTAAAGTGGAGCTGGCATAAAGAGGCGGGGCTTAACTTTTCGCGTGTGCACTTTTTGCATGAGTGACGGGACAAGACCGGTAAGTTTTGGAACCTGGAGAAAAGCGACTGTGTACAGTGAGATGTTCTTGAGTTTTTGACGTGCGTACCTAAGCACGTGAAGATCATTTTTGATCGGCTCTTCTCTCTAAACTTCCACCTATTTGAATGAGGTGTGTCCCTCCTTCCCCCCCCCCCCCCCCCCTAAAGCTGCGTGTTTTCGCGGAAACAGAACGCCAGCCTCTGGGCTAGTAATCACGTGATGTACCACTGAACCACGGTGACGTACGTCATGACCTTGTTAAAGCCGTCCACTTAAAGGTTGCCCCGCCCCCACGCAAACACCTTGACCCCCCCCCCCCCCCCCCCACAACCGCTTGATTGCTGAATAATGTATTGGTGGCTATCTACGACCCGGTGTATTATTTTCGTGTTTACCAGCTGAAAGTTCTGGAGTGGGTGTTGAGGAAAATCTATTCCTTTGTTGTAACAGACCGAGAAGCCTAGACTCCATGTTTGATGTGGTGAGTTTGTTCAAGTCTGGACTTGTAGAACCAAGTCCATCTAAACAACAGTGTCGGTGGGGATGGGGGGGGGGGGTGGTGGGGGGAGAGGAGAAAGATGAAACAATATTACAAAACTGCTAATTAAAATTGAGGGGAAAAAAAACAAATAACTAACAGTGATTGAAAGTGCTCTTCTTATTCACTTCTGTCGTATGAAATAGGTTATTTTACTGGGTTTTCTGGTGTTGGTTTCTCAAATAATGACACAAGTAGTTAACAGGATCAGGAACTCTATTTCCTTATTTTGATTAGAGGATGTTGTTTCTTTATTCCAACTCATGAGCCGGTATTCCGTGTCATTTGAATAGAGGATGTTGTTTCTTTATTCCAACTCCTGAGCCGGTATTCCGTGTCATTTAAATAGAGGATGTTGTTTCTTTATTCCAACTCATGAGCCGGTATTCCGTGTCATTTGAATAGAGGATATTGTTTCTTTATTCCAACTCCTGAGCCGGTATTCCGTGTCATTTGAATAGAGGATGTTGTTTCTTTATTCCAACTCCTGAGCCGGTATTCCGTGTCATTTAAATAGAGGATGTTGTTTCTTTATTCCAACTCATGAGCCGGTATTCCGTGTCATTTGAATAGAGGATATTGTTTCTTTATTCTAACTCCTGAGCCGGTATTCCGTGTCATTTGAATAGAGGATGTTGTTTCTTTATCACGATGTTTACCAATCTTCACTCATGGTCTGTGGATGACTTACGATCACGAGCCCGGGTTCCGAACCCGAGACTTAGTGTCTAGACAGGCATGCGCTTGATCGTTAGACCATGGCTCTATGCACTCTAGTCAGTGGGGGAAGTACAAGCCTGGCGATAACCCAGTGAACTCGCGGCTGCTGGTATGGTAATGAATGTTAATTCTTAACCCTGTTCTAATTAGCTTACACTAATGAACCTAGCTTGAGCCGTTAACGACTGTATACCAGAGAGGGAGAGTAATATATATATATATATATATATATATATATATATATATATATATATATATATATATATATATATATATATATATATATATATATATATTTATTTATTTACCTGTATATATATGTAGAAGAGAAGCGATATGCATGCATCAAGGATCGATGTAACAATATGTTGATAGTTGTTTAAGATTGAGGCTACACTTGCGAAGACAAGAAAAAAACTAGTCCTGATAATGACAGTGTAAAAGAATAATCAATGCAGGGTCCTTTGAAAGCGTCAAATGATGGCCAAAAAAAAAACCAGGCGCAGTGAGCGAGGTGCTCCAGAGCTGGCAATCATTTTTTATGCCGGCTTCTGGGAGCTGGCATGGAATGAGCAGAGCCTGTCATGCTGTGGGGGGGGGGGGGGGGTGAGTGTGATTGAATGCTTCAGGGAGTAGGTGTGGGAGTTAACTGTTTTAGTAAGGGGGGGGGGGTTGAATATGCAAATACCGTCATGGTTATTCATGTTTTTATCAGTGCTGAGATCGATATTTTTTACTCTGTCGTCGTGTCTCTGGTGTGGTATTGTATGATTACCCCGTACCTCTAGTATTATGTGATTACCCTGTGCCTCTAGTATTGTATTGGGCTGTTTTAATGTTTAATGTATGTCTATAGTATTCTCATTGTGTCTGTAGTACTGTTATAGTGTGTCTCTAGAACTTATAGTATGTCTCTAGTATTTTCATTGTGTCTCTAGTACTGTTATCGTGTGTCTTTATGACGGTTAAAGTGTCTCTATGAATTTTATAGTGCCTCTAGTATTCTCATTGTGCCTGTAGTATAATACAGTCATAGTGTGTTTCTATTATTGTCTTGTAGTGTTGTTGCGTTTCTCTAGTTACTGTAGTTGCTGTTATGGTGAGTCTCCAGTGTTCTTGATGTGCCTCGTGCAGATGTATTTTGTTAATTGTCTCTTAACCATTTTACCGTGTGTAAGCCCGCCGTATTCTATGTGTTGTATAAGATAAAACTTACTATGTAAAAAAAGTTTCTGAGACCTTCTAGAATTTTCCGCACCCACTTGTCTTCTCATATGCTAGTTAGCGTTGGGCTTAGAAGATCAGATATCTGTGTACTTCATATTTGCGCTGTTATCTGTTTTTATTTTTATTTTAAAAAATCAACTGTAAAAGAGGTATGGGGTTGATATAAGCAATCATTCTAATCACCCACATCTTTCTAGTAGAGTCTCGTCATTAGCATATCGGTTGGGGGGCCGTCCTTTGAATATTAACTAGCCACTTAAAATAGACTCCTCATGCGTTAGGGGCTGGGGGGTTGGGATGTTGTTGACCGTTGTTGATTGACTGTACCATACCCACGCAGGGAGGTCAACGACCTTCAGATTCCTGTGTACTTTACTTGAGGATGTTATGCACCCTTAAGTGTCTTCTAACAGTGTCCACTCAGAGCCATGTTGACTAAATAACTCCTGCAGTTCTTATCGAAGATCAATGTAGATCCTGTCAATGTCTATCACATAGATTCTGTATTTCTGATGCCTTGTGCGCCTTCTTAAGATTTCCCTACAATGCTAAGTACTATTGACACAATAATTCCTGCATTTCTTGTTAAAGATCAATACAGACCCTGTGAAGGTCTATCATATAGATCCTGTATTCTTCCCGTACAGACATATATATATATATATATATATATATATATATATATATATATATATATATATATATATATATATATATATATATATATGTATATGTATATATATATGTATATGTATATGTATATGTATATGTATATATATATATATATATATATATATATATATATATATATATATATATATATATATATATATATATATATATATATATATATATATATATTTATTTATTGAAGATTTCTACGCTACTTGCTGCCTTCTAATGCTGTGTACTATTGACACAATCATTCCTACAGTTCTAGTCAAATATCAGTAAAAATCATGTCAACGTATGTATAGATCCTGTATTGTTCCCAAAAAATCCTGACAGACCTAGTACTTAAGTCAAAGATCCCTATAAGATCCATACAAGATCCATACTTCTCAATTCCAAAAGTCCACAAACTCACCCGCTCCGGGGAGAAAAAAAGCCGGAAAAGACCGGCACACTTCCTGAGCTTCACGAGACACAAATCAACGAAACGCGAGGATACAGAGAAGTAAAAAATAACACTGACCCTATCGACCGAGATTTTTTTTACACACAATTTGATGACGTATCAGCTGTAATTGTCTGTACGGAATGTTCCATAATGTAAGATTTTTTTTTTAGTTTTCCTTCTTATAGATCTAGATCTAGATTCTATTTAAATTCAAATGTAATGTTTTTTTTTTTGTTTTTAAAGTTTGTGATTGAAAAAAAAAATGGGGAAAAAATAATTTGGAGTTTTATTCTCTAATGAAGTATATGCAAATTTTGTGATTGGCTGGACGTCTGTGGTGTGTGTAGTTGACGAGGTGTGGGGTTGACGTGTCGACTCGTTCTACACCTGCTGGGTGAGCACTTATTTCATTGCATGTCCGGCAACCTCTCTTTAACGTACATGACTTTGTTTTGACGGACTGCGAGGACCGTGTGTATGAACCTGCGTGTATTGGCCCAAGGTTTATAGGTTCGAGTGACTGTTCACAAATCCCAGATTGGTAAGTCATACATTGCCGGATTCGAGTATTACTAGACAAGGCATATCATGATATCCACAATTATCACGAAAATGAGGGAGGCTTAAAAATACATTGCGCTGAATTTGTTTTAAACAGAAGTGAAAATTATTGGAAATAGTTGAAAAATAAAAAAATCAGATGACAGTGAATCGTGGAAGGATTCTGTAAATGGCATATGCTCCACTTGGAGTTGAAAAAGACGAAGATGAAGAGGAATATTGACAAAGGTGATTGATTAGGGCTCGTAGGCTACTTGTCTCGTGTGAGAACTGATGCGTGTCCCTGAGTTCCGCTAGGGACGTCCGCTGTAGCGCATATCACCGTCTGCCCTTGTCTTGATTAGAACAACACGGAAATCTCATT